TAACCTCGCGAGCGGAGGCGCATTTTTCTTCTAAGGTCTTTTTAGAACGAGTTATTATAACGAATAAAAGAGAGTAGAGAAAGAAAAACTATATTCTTATAAGAGATAAGATTAGATTAAATATATAGTAAGCGCGTAATAAATATAAGTTAAAGATAAAATCCTATATTAAAGTAGTTAGAGATAAAGTAAAAGAGAATTTATTTTTTATTTAGATAAATGTTATCTATAGACAATAATAACTTATTAACGATATTTAATTAAATAAATTATATATAATAATAATAGTATAAAGCTAGATCTAATTAAATATATTACTTATAATAATAGATAATATTAATTTTTAAGTAGAGTAAAGCTAAATCTAATTAAGTATATTACTCGCAATAACGCGCGATACTAAAATATTTAGCTTCGCGCGTTATAGTATATAGAAGTTATTATTAAATAAAATATATTAAAGTAGATACGGCCTATAGATTTTAGCGTCGCGATTATAGATTACTAAAAGATTTCAAATGAAGTAATATATAAAGAAGGAAGTAGACTAGATAATTAAAAATCGAGAACGCTATTAAATTTAGCGTATCCGCTTTCATAATCTTAGATCTTAATATTATTATAAAAAGACGCAAAATAATAAAATGAAAATCTGAAAGAAATTTTTTTTTTTTTTTTCTCTAAGTTCCACGCATCCGCCGCTATAACCCTAATCCCTTCGCCCGTCTAATATTTAAATTCTTTATCTTAAAATATTTATAAAATTAAATCTTATAATTCTTTTTTTATTTAAAAGTCTATATTACGTTTTATTATTTAAAAAAAAATTAAAAATTTTAATAGAAAATTAAAATATTTTTTTAAAATAAATAATATATATCTATTTTTTTAATTAAGACTATCGAGTAAACTTTAAAAAGTAAAATTTAATTACTTTATCTTTAAATATTTATAAAATTAAATTTTAATATTCTTTTTTTATTTAAAAGTCTATATTATATTCTATAATTTAAAAGAAAATTTTTAAAATTTTAATAGAAAGTAAAGACTTATTTTAATATTTAATTTAATATATCTATTTTTTAATTAAAACTATCGAGCGAACTTTAATAAGCGATATTTAAATTTCTTATACTTTAATAATTATAAAAATTCTATTTTAAAAAATTCTATTATTAAAAAGCGTAAGTTATAGACTATAATTTAAAAAAAAAAAAAAAATTTTAATAGAAAATAGTAAAGTTATTAAAGAGTTAAAAGTAGAGAAAGAGATTTTTAATAATTACGAATATTAATTTATTTACTCGCGATAATTTAATAATTTAACTAAAGAGCGTAAATCTAATAAATTTATAATTAGCTATATATATAAATTTAAGATTTTATAACTTAACTCTATCTTATTCTTTTATATATATTAATAAGTTTAAATTTATAAATTAAATTTATAATCTATTTTTTTAATTAAAGCTATCGAGTAAATTTAATAAGTAAACTTTATAAAAGGGATATTTAAACTTTCTATTTTTAAATAATTATAAGATTAAATCTATTAAATATATATTATTAAAATCTTATATTATATTATATTATATCTTTTTAATTAATATTAATATTATATAATTATTAAAATATATAAAAGAATAAGATAGAATTAAATTATAAAATCTTTAATTTATATATATAATTAATAATAATCTTATTAAATCTACGCTCTTTAATTAAATACTATAATTAAATAAATTAATATTTATAATTATTAAAAAATAGATATACGTTATTAATATATAAAATAACTTTTTTATTTTTATTAATTTTTTAAGTTTTTTTTTTAAATTATAGAATAAATTATAGACTTTTAAATAAAAAAAGAATATTTAAATTTAATCTTATAATTATTAAAGCGTAAGAAATTTAAATATTACTTATTAAAGTTTACTTACTAGTCGAATAGCTCTAATTAAATTATAGATATATATTATTTAATTTTAAAATAATCTTTTTATTTTCTACTAATTTTTTTTTAAATTATAGAATAAAATATAGACTTTTAGATAAAAAAAGAATTTTTAAATATAGTCTTATAATTATTAAAGCGTAAGAAATTTAAATATCACTTATTAAAGTTTACTTATCTATTTACTTAATAGTTTTAATTAAAAAAAATTAAAGATTTAATTTATATATCTTTACTCGTTTTATATATAATATATAAAAAGTATAATTATAATACTTTAAAAAAATCTAATAATCTTACTTTTAAAGATTTTATTAAAGTTTTATTTAAATTATAATATTCTTCTATAAGATATAAGTAAAAATCTATAAATTAAATTTATAATTATTTCTTTTAATTAAAGCTATCGAGTAAATTTAATAAGCGATCTTTAATAAGCGATATTTAAATTCTTTATCTTAAAATATTTAAAAGACTAAATCTTATAATTCTTTTTTTATTTAAAAGTCTATATTACGTTTTATAATTTAAAAAAGAATTAAAAAAATTTAATAGAAAATTAAAGTAATATTTTAAAATTAAATAATATATATCTATTTTTTAATTAAGACTATCGAGCGAACTTTAAAAAGCGATATTTAAATTCTTTATCTTTAAATATTTATAAGATAAAATTTAAATATTCTTTTTTATTTAAAAGTCTATATTATATTCTATAATTTAAAAGAAAAAATTTAAAATTTTAATAGAAAGTAAAGACTTATTTTAATATTTAATTTAATATATATATTTTTTAATTAAAGCTATTAAGCGAACTTTAATAAGCGATATTTAAATTTCTTATACTTTAATAATTATAAAAATTCTATTTTAAAAAAATTCTATTAATAAAAAGCGTAAGTATAGACTATAATTTAAAAAAAATAAAAAATTTTAATAGAAAATAGTAAAGTTATTAAAGAGTTAAAAGTAGAGAAAGAGATTTTTAATAATTACGAATATTAATTTATTTATTCGCGATAAGTTAATAATTTAATTAAAGAGCGTAAATCTAATAAATTAATAATTAGCTATATATATAAATTTAAGATTTTATAACTTAACTCTATCTTATTCTTTTATATATATTAATAAGTTTAAATTTATAAATTAAATCTATAATCTATTTTTTTAATTAAAGCTATCGAGTAAATTTAATAAGTAAACTTTAATAAGCGATATTTAAACTTTCTATTTTTAAATAATTATAAGATTAAATCTATTAATTCTTTTTTTAAATTAAAAAGCGTAAATTATATTTTATAATTAAAAAAAATCTTAAAATTTTAATAGAAAATAAAAAAGTTATCTTATTTATAAATAACGTATATCTATTTTTTTATAAGAAAGCTTAAAAGAGTTAGCGAGCTAACTTAAATAGTCTAGTTAAAAGATATAATAACCTCGAATTTATAATTAGCTATATATATAAATTTAAGATTTTTTAATTTAACTTTATCTTATTCTTTTATATATATTAATATATTAATTAATAGTATAACTTAAGTATAGATTTAAATTCAGTTAACTAATAATTCTATTTAAAAATCTCCTACTAGCGTAGCCCTCTTAATTATAAGGAAAGGGATAGAATAAGAGTAGAGCTACTATTACCAGGCTCGACATAGTTGTGGCAAGGAAAAGAGCCGTTGCGGTTCTCGGCTAGCTGCTTTTTGGTCTGTTCTTCGCACATATGGTGATTTTTGAGATGCCCTCTGTCTCATGGTTCCTCAGCAGCGAATCTCCTTTGCTGCTAGAGACAAAGCTTCGCTCAGGTTCCTGTATATGAAGATGCTGTAAGTTCAGATGATGCGCAAGCAGCCCAGAAGTTCAACAGCATCCTTCGTTTACAGTCGAGGCCCCCGCTTCGAAAGTTGGTTGATTTGATAAATAGGCAACATGGAGGAGTAAGAACGAGATTGCGCAGCTATGCCGGGGAAAGAGATACCTCTACCGGCAGCGAGCAGCTTGAGAACAGGAGTCAGTTAATATGAGTCTGAAGAGAATTCGTCTTGGAACAACTCAGATGCTTCTGCTATTAAATATAGTACAATCGTGGGCAGGAAGCATGTTGGCCCAGTTGCCGATGCGATATCTATCCCATCATCAGCAGCGGCCGCCTTCGGCCGACGCCTCATCGCTCTGACGTGGAAACTGGTTCAGCGTTCTTTATCCCACCACCAGTGGCCTTGACTTCCAGGTTCTTGGTAAAATCGCCCAGCTTTTCCACTTTATTTGAACCCCATGCTACTAATCCACCCTATCAAAGACCTCGAGACCGCGACTGCTCTTCGAACGCAGTGACCTCAAGAACTGGTTTGAAGCTTTCGGAGGTTCGGCGTCCGTTGCTGCAGACCTGGAACATGTCTCGAATAGATTGCATATTGTGCGTACCGGCGCGACCGGCGAGCATTTTCTGCATGGCAACATGCAGCCAAAGATGGCATGATTACCAGAATAAACCCTGGCAGAGATGGTGCCATTAGTCACGGCCTGTGAAGCTCATTCATGGTGGACAGGTGCCAGAAAGTGGGGTTGTATAAACATCACAATAGCACTGTTCGTCCGACCCACACACCACAGGAGCCATGCCGAAGACAACATGCCACAGCCTCTCAAAAACCATCCCCGAATGACGACTCTCCAAATTAGTACTGAGCAACCACTGCCGGTATTCCATATATTTTTCCTTTGTCCTGCGATACACAGCTTCCTTCGATACTGCGAATTGCGCGCAGCATGCTGAGGTTACGTCTTCAGGCATGGGGACGCCGAACCAAGCGTCCCAGTTCTGGTATATGGCTTCATCGACTGGAGGGTCCGAACGAGTAGAGAGCCGCCCGTTAGATTCGTCGTTGGTGGCGTTTTCCGCGCGTTGCTTATCGGCGAGGTATATATGTTGGTCACAGCCAAGAACCCTCAGTTCACAGTTGAAATTTTGGTATCCGCGCAAGCGGACAGTGGTGAGGTTCAGGTGATTGACTTCGGCCGCGGAATCGAAGCGTTGATGCCAGGTCGTGTTGTGGCCGTGGCGGAAAGCGATGATGTCTGGAAGAGAGTCGTAGTTGTCAATAATGAAGGAGAAGTAGCGCATCGCTTCATTCCCGTCGTTTGCGGGTACGGAGAGGGTGCTGTTGGGGTTGGTGTCTTCAGTGACGAGGTATGGGTATTGGATCCAGTCTTCTTGGACATCCTCCATCCAATGGATGACATCTCGTGATCGTGCAGATACCACTAGGGCCTTGGTTTCTTTTGGGATGTCCACAATCTGATCTAGATTGCTTTTGGTAGCGTTGATCTGTTGCAATTGGCTTTCGGTGGTGTTGATTTGTTCCTCTGGCATGTACTTAGGTATGGCTATTGTGGGTGAGCTGGTGTTTGGCATAGTAGAGATGGAGATGTGAGTATTGACTGCACCTTTGAAGGCTAAAAACGTGACAAAAAGGGCGCAAATGATGGAAGCATATATCTTGTAATTGTACTTTGTTGCGCGCTGGGGCGAATCTTCGTCATGTTGTCCATTCGCTAGTCTTTCATATTCATGACCGTCAGAGTATCCGGGCAAACCTGGTACTTGCTTGAGCACATGTTCGGGAACAAGCGAAGACAAACGGAATGTCTGTACTTGCTTGAGCACATGCTCGGGAACAAGTGAGGACATGGTAAACATCGGACCGTATCAAGAATTGACGGTGGACTCGAAGAAAGTTCAAGAGGAGGATGGTCAACGGAGTAGTAAAGAAAAGGGAGGAAATGCGATTTCAGCAGGAAGTAAGAAAGGCATCGCATTCACATGGCTCCTGTTATTGGCCCGTGTCTCATAAATGGTGGAACTTCTCTAGTGCGGTTCAAATATAAGGTATATCCGATACCCCAGTCTCCACTACCAAGGTTGAAATGGAAAGAGGGACGGTAACTTGGTAAGTCCCTTGCAACGACATCCTCATAATTTTAGCGAAAGAGGTTTGGATAGCATCGTATTGTGTCATCGAGTTACACGACGTGGAAGAAGAGAGCTGTTTTGCGTCCTCTGTACAATCGTCGCAGCTCAAACTGAAATCCGAACAAATTTACATACAGTACCTTTTTTCGCATCTTTCGCCATTTTCGCTATAGACTACTACCATCTCAAACGGAGCTACGAGGGGCTCTACCTCAAGCGGGTCTGGAGAGGCGCACTGTGTCTCTCATAGTTCGGTTTGAGATGGTGGTAGTGGTAGATTATTATTGCGAAATAAGGAGGGGACAAGGAAGTGACGATGTCGGCGACTTTATACTTCACTACTCGTGATACGGGAGCGGGAGGTTACACACTCGAATACCAATTTGAGCCTAGACAGAGCACTATCCTTCAAAAGGCTAGCTGGAGACCTCACCATATCTGGTTCAAAGGCTAGGCTCAATGCGGATAAACTCCCAAGTACCTTTTCTGAGAGCAAAATGTTTGGCTGATCTCCGAACAAAAGAACGCAGCACGCTCAGTCATCATCTTCATCAGCTTCCTACTCAAATCATACAGTATGGAGACCCATAGCATAATGCGCACCTTACCCTCTTGTCCTACCCATCCGCCCATACTCACAGTGACACGCTCAACGACCTCAACTCTGCCCTCCATAATCCACCATGAGCACTCTCAACCCATCTGCCGCTGCCTCCCCCTCCTCGCAACGACTGCTCGATAAGACCGCCGTCATCACTGGCGCATCATCAGGTCTTGGACGCGCGATCGCGCTTAGGTACGCAACACACGGTGCCGCTGTCGTCTGTGCCGATCTGCGACCCGTTGCAGAAGTTCATGTCAAAGAGGGGGATACTAAAGCTACACACGAGGTGATTCTCGAGAGCGGAGGAAAGAGTCTGTTTGTCGAATGTGATGTTCGGGACAGTCAGAGTGTGCAGAGCCTAATCGCGAGGGCCGTGGAGGTCTATGGCAGGCTCGACATGTGAGCTGGCCCGCTCAACGCCTACACGCCATCTGCAAGCCGCAGGGCTGACAAGTCGATGACAGCATGGTCAACAATGCCGGCATCGGCCTCGAAGTCCCCCTCCTCCTCCCTGTCCACGAAACCCCCGACTCGACCTTTGACACCACCATGTCTGTCAACTCCCGCGGCGTGTTCCTCGGTTGCAAGTACGCTGCCCAACAGATGATCACCCAAAATCCCTACCCGAGCGGCGATCGGGGCTGGATCATAAATGTTGCATCAGTGGCGGGAGTGGTGGGCCTGGGTGGAACAGTGTCCTATTCAGCTTCGAAAGGGTCAGTGGTCCAAATAACTCGGACGGTTGCTCTGGACTTGGCACCATGGCGCATCCATTGCAATGTTCTGTGTCCTGGCTGTGAGTGGAACACTATACTTCGATGGGACGGGGGATGCTGACTCTTAGCCGTAGTCACAAAGACGGCTATGATCAAACCATTGACGGATGTTGAGGCAACGCAAGCTCGGCTTGGGGCAATGCATCCCTTCAAAGGCCTCGGCGAGCCAGAGGATATCGCGAAGGCGGCCCTTTTCCTGGCAAGTGATGATGCGAGTTGGGTCTCTGGAGCAGCGCTGCCTGTTGATGGTAAGTCTTCGCTTGGGTGTTTGGTGTCTATATGCAGCAAGCTTACTCACCCCCAGGTGGCTACACTGCCCAGTAATCCCTCCTACGTACCGAGTCTCATATACATGCGCTAGAAAGAATAGCCTTCGAATGACCACGTCGCCGCGCCGGTATCGGTACCTCTTCTGGGGGGGGAAGTGCGGCGAGAGGTCGGCGTTGGGCTGGGGCCACATTTCGACTACCATCCCAGTTCTTCTGAGCCTATCAGAAGTGCAAGCTTACATCACGCACAGGAAGTTTCCGGATGGTCCACCTTCTCAGTTCTCGGTCTTTTGGCTTCTGAAGATCATTGTGCGGATTACGATTTCATTTTGCTAGCTTCACGATCTTTGACTCAATGATCACCATATCCAGTATCATAGAAGCTATCAGACTCTTCCGTCAAATAAACAGATACCTCCGAGTCCATATAGCAGATTTGTTCTCCACTCGCTTTGCACTCCATGTGGTTGCAGTCTTCCGACCTCTGAGTTGTTGACCCACACTGCGCGCACTCCATCGCATCAAATTTCTCCTTCGATGTCGCCAAGTATAGCACTTTTGCATTGGTTGGATCAAGGCTTTCATGGTTGAGAGCTCCGCATTTGGTGCAGGTTAAGGTGAGGCACGTAGAACATGTGTACATTTTGACTACATCTGACTTTTCCTACCTCTGATCGCAATCCGAGGCCCTACCGTACTGATAGCTGCCTTAATATAAACAAACGTAGCACGTGGGGGACTCCTCGAGCGTGGTGTTCATATCAGTAGCTTGACTGGACTCTTCCCCCATAATAGCTCTTGCCCAATCGGCATCGTCAGATGATCCGCGCAAGGTAGTTGTATCTGCGCTCGTCATGACGTTTAAGCAAAGGTGTGGAAGAATCCCCTATTTAATGGAAGCAGCCATGCGACCGCTGCCAGATGGAGTATCTATAAGGTTATCGTAGTTCAGGCGCTGTGCACGTGGGGAGACTTGATGACAGCTACGTACAAAGTCCAGGTCAGCACACCATTGTCGAGTGGCGAGAACTTTGAAGTATCTATAGCCTGGAAGCTATGTGGTGAAGGGTTTTGCGTTGTAAACCAGAATGATTGAGCAACTTAGATAGTCGCGGCCAGTCCGAAGGCCGAAATTTTATGCTGAAGAGTACAAGTAAGGGTCCCCAAGTCAGTCGAGTCCGAATCACGGTGGATGTCTTTGAGCGAAGCAGTTGCATTGGGAGAATCTCCGCCACTTGATGAGGGACAGTTGCGACATTTTATCTTCACTTTGCCAAACAGACTAGGTGTGTGTGTGTGGCTTGAATTATACTGCGGGACAGGCGTCAAAGCTCAGAGCAGTCCACTCATTAACTAGCTATAAACTACAGGTATCATCATCGAGTGTGGATCCTTAGGGTTAGGTGGATTTGTGTATTGATGTGTCAGAAGAGAGTGTTTCGTGCTCTGTGGGTCAGGGCTCTCTCCCAAACCCCTCCAGTAGAGTAGCGCACGGTAGCGGCCGGCAACGCTAAGTGCTAGATAGGTCACTTCTCTTTTACGTCTACCGTACCTCGATGAAAGATGGAAAGATTATGGCCGGGAGAGGTTCATAGTAGTGAGCGACGAGGAAGGGTGGCGAGAGAAAATTCTAGAAGCGGCAGACGACGAGTAAAGCATCGGATGAGGATAGAGAGGGCAGACAAGTCACGAGCACACCTCATCCGCCGTCTGAGCAGTAAGCATTCTTGCTGCGAATCAAGTGGAATCACCACTCGATAAATCTAGAGAGAGTGCTGAAAGACCGTGTTGATGTCACTCAAGGAAATACTCATTCTGACGTCCATCATTGGGAGACAAGTATTCAAAAATTACTCAACCTGATCAGCTCATTGCCACTGGATAGTTTCTGAAAGCGGTGTCAAGTTGAACAGAAAGAAGAGTTGTGGTCAAAGTGTGCCAGAGTCGTTCTCGCTCGGAATCATCTGAAACAGTCATCCGGTAAGATGATACAAAGATCTCACTGGAAAGGATATTCAAGGAGTCCTATCACTTTAAGAGCGGAGATAAAGCCGTAAATGATGACGGACGTTGAGAATAGGCGCCACTCCTCAGCCGTCTGGATTGGAAGCATTATCGAAGAGGGTTGACTTTACGCGAACATTGGTGATAAAGTGAGGCATGGTAAGGCGAGAAATGCATGTCCCCTTTTGCAGTGTTTCCTCTGTTTTCTTCAATCATCTCCCTGCGGGCCTCCCGAATGCAATCTCGGTCAGATTCCTTCCCGGTTCAGCCTTGCGGGAATGCGGCTCGGTGCCCAATGAATTGATGTCTCATCTCAGCTCGCTGCCAAATCCGAAAAGCGGCCACATCGACATGTTTAAAAAAGCACAGTAACCCCTGCATTGCGTATTTGCGACTGGGTCCTCAAACGTCTACTCTGCATATTCAATTAGGAAGAGCTAACAGATCGATGTGGCCTCGAAGACCATACAAACTTGGAACACCGACGAGAATGATGTTGATCGCTTATGCGGATGCTGATGTCGCACTCGAATAAAAAGAAGGGCAAAGTTGTATCACATTTCAACCAGGCGCGAGGCGTAGATCGTCTGAGCCTTGTCAAGCTCAGGAAATCTATGGCTATACACCTTCTCGCCTCGTATGTGCAGGTGGTTTCATCTTATACACAGCCTCGTTATGCAGCTGACAAGGTGTAAACCTCCTTCGCAAGACTTCCGCTGATAGGACTAGCTGAGCTAAACGTATGAAGACACATAAGCCTTGACTGCCAACACTTGAAACATGATCCGAATGTCTCGGGTAGATGCGTGTCGATTAAATAAATAGGCAAATATGTGAATCTAAAATGATCCATGAGCGTGGAGACTGGAGCAAAAAGATAGAGGATCAAGTTTCGTCTCTTGACTGATTCACGCACATTCAATAACCGATTGCAGCCTTCACGTTTCTCATCCCTCAGCTTTTTCTATCATTCATCAGCCTTCGCTCACTTTGCCCAGAAATGCCCTCCATCATATCTCCCTTCACAGATCAACATAAGACATTGCTTTCGACCGTGCCAGCAGAATGCGCAGTCTCCGCCATCGCACACTTTCCAGTACAATCGCTTTGCCACTGGTCCTTCTCGTCTGCTTTGTGTTCTACACCCTCAAAACTCCTACCAAAGAGTCTTCCCCTTTCCTCTTCAGACTTCAACCCGGCCATCACCTACCCATATCTCCGTTGCATTCCGCTGCCGCACCTAAAGCGCGACAAATCTCCCCTGCGGAACTAATGGCACGGCCTCCTCCGCACTCAGGACCACACATGCCCAAGCTTCTTCACCAGAGCTGGTCCACTACCATCCTCCCATCAAAGTTCGAGCAGTGGAGCCTCTCATGCAGAGATATGAATCCGGACTTTGAATGGGTGCTGTGGACAGACGAAGATAACCGCCGTTTGGTGGAGAAATACGCCCCGGAGTTCCTGGTCAAGTACGATGGGTTGAAGAGCGAGATCTACCGCGCAGATGCGGTAAGGAATTTGTACATGTTTGTTTTTGGCGGGTGAGTTTACTGCTCTCTTCCGGCGGGCGGGGTGGAACAGTGGGGGACATCACTGATACCGCGTTTTGAAGGGTGTATGCTGATCTGGATACTGAATGTTTGCGTCCTTATGAGGCCCTTTTTGCGCAGCACAACATCTCCTCCAGCTCGCAATCAGGTTTCACCAGCATTCAGAATCCTACACACACTCCTACTTCCGACGCCGCGCCCACCTCTACATTTCCCACTACCTCATACAATGCAGGCCCACAGACGGCCTTCCTCGCCCGCATGGGCGCTGATAATTCGAAAAAACACAGCATCCCGAACGCTTGGTTGGCTTCGACGCCGTCCCATCCCTTCTGGCTCCTGCCTCTGGACCTAGTCTCGAAGGGGACCAAACCCTACGGCGATTGGCCCGAAGCAGTGACCGGACCGGACGCGCTGTTCTACTTGGTCAATGAGTATTTAAGGGAGTATCGCAGTGATAATGATCATGGAGCGAGCTTGGATGAGGTTTTGTTGAAGAGTGAGTTGAAGGAGATGTATGTTCGATCTTTAGGCGAGAAGAATATCAGAGCCAGTGCTGAAGTCGGGATGCATCAGTTGGTGCTGTTGGGGAAGGAGATGATCTTTCCGTATTGGTGGGGCGAGAAAGAGTTGGAGGGCGTTTGTAAGGCTGGTGAGGAGGGGTTTGATCCAGAGACTTGTAAGGATGTTCTGGATGTGCAGGCCTTGGGCAGTTGGTCTATAACATATTGGAGTCATTCGTGGGATCAGGAGGGTGGGCACGACGAGGGACACCTTAGCGCGATGGGAAGTTGGAGCTTTCGGGGAGGAAGAATGTCAAGGAGGGCGACAAATAGAAAGAGGGGGCGATGAGACTTGTTGTGAGCACAAAGGTTGAAAATCCGATAGGAAAACACGATGGGTAATATCACGGATTGCCACAATCCAATAGGGGGCGAAGTCTACCTTGGACAATCCTCTTGTACAGGTAGAGTAGCCACCAGCCTTCTGATACAATGTTCGTGCGACCATGACAGAACGGGCGTGGCGGTTGACCCGTCGACAAGCGACCCCAGACTGCTCCCTTCGGTATTACTAATCCTCATCTAATGCATGATTGTTAGAGTCCATCCATTCCTGCAACATTCCTTATAAATGCCTCCGCAACAAAAACGAAACGTCATGAAAACATCGCCTACCGTAATCGGTTCAATAAAGCCTCTTCGTACGGAGATGAGATGCGAACTCGGAAGTATCGTCCCATCATGTCAACACGCCTTTCCACATCCGACTGGAAAGATGATCGTACTGGACATGAATCATCGAGGACCATAATTGCAAGATCAAGTCCTGTTGCTTTTTCCTTGTGCACATGCTCGGCGAATGGATATTTCCAGTGATAGGGTCTCGAGCGCTTGTGATTCAGGTGAGACCGCCCCAAGTATGTATTCTGATCCCTAGTGTGACAAGAAAGGTGTCATTCGACGAGAAATATTTACGGGCGGTGGAAGTTTACGGCAGCGATCTTACGTAGAATGGTATCCTAACAAGCATTCGTCTGGGCCATTAACCCGACTCTTTATCCATCATATTCAATCCCTTTAGCTCATTCGATCGTCTCAGGGTCTCCCCCTCCGAAAGACGCGCACTCGCAATCCCCAAATCCCACTTGTGCCACAACACGCCGAGTGACCTATCAGCTTCCGCCGCAACCGCAGCGGCAACCTTGACCCAACACGGCCCATGTCCGGTCAGCCCCTCTGTTTCCACAGTCCTGTGATGACACCGCTGAGATGCCACTGGGGCGCTGTAGAGGATGAGGAATGCATGGATCATCTCGTGCAGCAGGGTGTCCAAGTACTCTTGTACAAGTTTATGTGTCCAGAGCTGGTTGGGCTGCCGTTTGACCTCTAACTGGATCTCTCGTGTCGCTGAGGATATGCATGATTCTTTCCTTTTGGTGATCCCTACCCAGCCAGAGTTTGCAGGCGTATCATCTGCCAACTTGACTTTTATGTACTGGCGCAGAGCGCCAAGAAAGAAATAGTCGTCGAAGATATCAACGAAGAAATCGAGAGGAAGTGGCTGCTCATCTGTGCTTTTTCCGAACTTGAATCGGAAAGCGTGCCAACGAATCAGTGCACTCAGCTGGATCTCCTCAAGCCCCTCGTTGTCATCTTCTTGAATCTTCGTCCAGTAATTGGCAAACTCAGTGGTCAACTCCTCGCATAAATACCCTGGTGGAACGACGGCAGGCTCCAGGCGCTGACTTGCATCTTTGCGAACGAGAGGGCGGGGACCCAGACTGGTGAGCCAGCTCTTGGGCAAATATTACATGTAATGGCTATTGTGATGGGAATCTGGGGGGTCTTTCTCAGGTGGAGACTAATCTGGTGGCAGCAGGCTCGAGTTCAAGTGATATTGTTGTTCGTACACCGAGAAATGGTGAAGGGACTTTTAAGAAGCTAGCAATGAAAGGCATATATGGAAAGTGGAAGAGAATCTTGGAAAGGATATCTCGAAGTATGTACGGCAAATCAGTGAGTGTCAAGGGTGTTATCATGAGTCAGCCTCCGCGGAATTTCTTGGCTTTCGATGTCAATATGTCGACCTGCATCTTTCAGTAGCTTCAACACTTTGCTGATGACTTGTATCACACCAGACAAATACTGTTTGTGATGAAGAGAGCAGACGCGTGAAGCCGAAAAACAAAGACTAGACGAGCGAAAACCAAAAAGACTTGACTTAGTATCATTACGTGTCAAACACCAAGAAATCTCGGAAACAATGCAAAGAATGCTAGTCTGATCCCACGCCTGTGATATGACATGTCCGTCCAAATGCATAACCTTACGTGTTCACCTCATATAGTCTGTACACAGTATGTCTGACTCGTAGATTTGACAAGACCAACTCTCAACATTTTTCAGCTTTCTCCTTGACTCAGAAAGGCTACTCATCTTCTGACAACAACAGATGCCAACATATACAAATAAATGGGTGGAATCGTATTGTTGCCGTCTTGTTCGACTTGGGCCGCAAATTACATTGCTGCGTCATGTTGCACAACATTCTTCTATTGCTATCCCATAATTGTGCCTCCATGTAGGTTCTGCCATCTCGACCAGTGACTGTACTCATCTCTCGTAAACTCCACGCATTTCACGTCCACATCATTGATGAAAATCCTCAGCGCAATCTAAAGACTGACCGTTATGCAAGGCAGGAATAAGAGTCCCATATCCATGACAAAGGCAAAAGCGGGGGCGTGTTGTGTTGGAGTCTTCAAAAGTGCTTCGATCGGAAGTAGTCCGAGGTTGTTTACGAGGTAAGAGAGAGGTGATCCTGTGTTGTAGGAGTACGCTTCTTCGCCATCCCTGTGAGGTTCTGCGTGTTGATTCCTTCGGGACATGGACGACGGTCGAAGGAATGCTCACTAAGGCCAAAGAGTCCTCTGTGCATCTGCACCACTTTCCTACTGACAAGACCACGCTCCCAAAAACTTCAACGGTTCTCATCCACAGTTGGACCGTCTTCCACGGCACTATAGACAATTCTCGGTGATCTTGCGTACGTAAGCAGAGTAGCTGGCTCAGCGATCTGGCAGTCGGCGCTCGGAAACAGACACAGTCGTCTCTTCCCATCTTTCTGCACTTGACTCATCTCTACGTGTCGAGTAGCAAAGGTCTTAGTAAGGCGGATCTCGCGAACAGTACACTGCATTTTGCGGTCACAGGAATTTTCCCGGTGTTGAATAGGAAAAGAAGCCGGAGTGTACCGTTGGGAGTGCTGCGTTGACGGCTACAGTGAGGGTGTTTCCGCCGTACGCTTGATCTGCCATATTACCCATCTTCTCGGCGTTGTGAACGGATTCAAACATGCTAGGAGTTGCCTGCCGCACGGACACCAAGTTGGTGATGGTGCTCGCCAGGGCGATCGCCAAGAAATGTGTCAAGAAGCAGAGAGACACGGTACCATGATTCACATTCTTTTTCGAAAACAACCTCGTCAACGAAGGTCTTTTCCAAATAAAATCACCCATGGCGCTCACCGAGTTCTTGCAGCCCATGAGGGTTCGAGAATGGAGATTCATTCTCAATGATGGAGATGCGCCGCTTTTCTGGCATCCTGCGCTGGACTGGCACCAGCTTGGCGAAGCTGAGTGGAGGGCGGATTGGGAGAGGTATCAGCAAGTCGCCGACATGAAAAAGGTTCGATTACATTGTGCTTCGAAGGCAGACATCGAGAAATATGGGCAGCAAGGGATACCTCAGACGTAATACGAAAGAGTAATGGCATACCGTACGTCTATACTAGACAAAGCTTTGAGGGGATGGGAATGGCCAACGGCAGACGTTGCGACACTCCACTTCATCCATACTCTCCCATAGCTTAAGACTGTGTCGGACTGAGTAGAAAAGGATCCAATAAAAAAGCTCATTCAACAAGATTTCCCTTGAAATAAGATTTCCCTTGAAATCTCCTCATCCTGGTCGGTTCCTCTGCGATCGATGGTAAGGGCTTATCAGAAATCCCCGTACTGCTCACATGACATATGAGACTAATCTCTATGCCAATAACATTGTTCCTTCTAATACTGTGTCGTTATTCCATGCTCGTTAGTCGAGGTTGGACTAGGGAGGTCCGTGCTACCAATTTGAATTGAGGAAGCGAGCTGTATTTGGGTCGGTTACGCTGACTAGCGCTACTACGTTATGCTTCAAGCGTTGCTTTGCGTTAAGTATCTTCTTTGGTATGACATTGGCGTATGGTTGGCGGTCTCCTGTTTCGACGATGTCAGATGACTTTGTTGAGATATGTGCCATGGAAACGTCTATGGGATAGGCAGGTAGGTTGTTGATCAAGAGTGTGAAGAACATCTGAAGCGAGCTGGCCTGTGATAGCAAAGAAAGGTGAGGCGGTCGCTTGTACCATAGTATAAATGTTATCAAGTCTTGGAGTGAAAGCGTTGGTCATAAGCAGAGCGTTACTAGCGCCGAATTCGATGAGTATCTCTACGTATAGTAGCTCACTTCTCATGCAGTACATCGCCTATCGGTTGATATTCTTGATTTGCTGATATTTGTTCAATGTCTCGATCTGGATTGTAGACGTCGAGACGTGAATAGTGCCATACGAACAGCTTTCGTAATTATTCCTGTTACCAGTGATGGAGTTTTCATGATGCATCTCCTCCTCAGGAATGCCCTTTGATATCAATCTTGTACGCGCCCCGGCCCAATTCGCTGCAACATCGACAGGCTAACATACACAAGCTTGTTCGAATCCGGATGATACCACTCAGCTTTGAACGGCGCTGTAAACCCTGTCCTCGCATTGGCCAACAAGTTATCAATGATCATCTCGTACGCCGACCATGTAAGACTTTGATCCAGATCTGCGGCCCTGAACGCCAACAAGACGCTGCCCATGGTAAAAGTGAAAGCATTTCCAGGGGCAGGTGTGTTTCGGAATTGGTTCAGGGCTATCCGCCGGAGACAGCTGGTATAGAATTCCTCAAGCACTGAGGCCGCGACTTGGACAGGGATAATGAAGCTGAAGTACTGGCGGTATCTGATCTCCCAACCGTGAGCGTTTGTGGTCTGTATGGGTCCTCCATTAGGAAGTGTACGTTCAAGTAGATGGACTTCCCGGGCTTGCGAAACGGATATGTCCGGGGATGGAGAGGACGATTTCGGGGAGACGTGGTTGTGATGGACTGAGGATTTAGATGGGCCGTGGTCCTCCACAGCAGAGAAAAATGCAGATGTTGCCGCTAGCGCAAATAGGAGAACAAGAGTGAAGACACTCCCATTCGCTTTCTTGAAAGCATACATTTTCGGATTTGGAAGATTTCTTTTGCGACCCCGTGGTAGCCCTCCTGAATCCTCTAAATTAGTGTTCTAAAGTGTTCGAATTGGTCTGATGTACGCCTTGACGCGAGCTATTTCTTAGGAATCTGAGCGCTTTGCGGCAAAGCGCTTATAAATATCGCATATACTCGCATTTAGATCGAACGTCGTACTCTACTGTGCAGGTGGTTGGGGGAAGTATTATAAGATCTTGTGTTATATTTTTCCCTCCTCCTTATTATCGACCCAATCTCAAACCAAGCAGAATAGACTCTCTAATGCGAAGCGACTTTTAAAGTATGGTTCCGAACATTGGAGACTGGGGGTGGAAAGGCGGGTAAGATACCGGGAACGAAAACGTTCAAAGTCAAAGCACGAGAATACCAATCTCTTTCTGCCGGACAGCGACAGGGATTTTGCGCTGTGGAACTAGGTGCTCGTTATGAAGCATATGCACGAAACTCGATTTCATGTCGAACGCGATGCGCTCACCAGGGTCCACACGACGCGAACAACCCAACCGGGAAGTGTTGAGGAATATTGTATTGGTTCCAGCATTCGGATTGGAACTCGAGGCAGCGTTAAAGGATGCTATAAACGTGGCGAAACAGAGAATGTACTCTAGAACACGAGCGCAAGTGTTCAAGACTGAAAAAGCACTCCAGGCAGCTCGAATGTGATGGTCTATCCTTTTGCCTCCTGACCACATAGGATTTCACTGGTTCACGCACTTCCCAGTTACAAAGGCCATGCAGGACGAGGAAACCACCAAAACGAGCATCCGTCCAATCAAATAGGGGCGGCTTGAGGGGGTCTAGCGGATTGTGGTACAGTCATACTGTGATACCAATCCAGCCGGCTATCACAATAACGCTTACCGCAGCGATGGATATGAAACCTCGAGTTCGTCGACTTCCGATCTTTTTGTTGTCCAGTAGAATACCGATCCAGATGGCACCTAAGCTCTGCATCTGTTTGGAACACACTGGACTGAGAGACCGTCTCCGGATGTTGAAGTAAAAGGCTGCATGAGAGCATAAGTACCGAATCTCCACCAAGTATGGGAAACTGGGGTTTGAACTAACAATTCAGTGTGGAAAAGACAGTAACGACTATTTCGCTTCCAAACAAGGGGACCAACAGAGCCGATAGCCTCCAATCCCTGAAAAGTCTGCTTTGAGCTTTTAGCTTATACCAGAATCTGACCCTCTTGAGGATGAAGATGGTACAATGGTGAAACAAGCGACAAAGAAGCCTGAAGCCATGAATATATTGAACACGACGTAGACGGAGACGGGAAAGAGTGCAGACGTCGGACAGGCGTCTCTTCTTCTTCTTCTTCTTCTTCTTCTTCTACAGGAAACGCTAGCTGGAGTTCCTCAAACTGCGTCCGTTAAGCCTTTGGTGATCGCTAGCGATTCACTTGAAACAAACGTCGCTAGCCATCCAATGAAACCAGTCACTTTCAATGGCAAGATTGACGGCTTCAAGATTGGAATAAATTCGAAAGGTAGGGATGAGACTCCATTGGACCTTGAATTTTGTCTTGATATACCAGCTGACCAAGTCCGCGATATCCCTGGCAAATATCACCATGGTACCCTTATCAATTCATCTGCAAGAGCTCTGACCGGCCATGATTGGGACGCTAGCCACAATATTTAGACCCACGCTTCACATGGCTATGGTGCAATGCGTCTCATGATGACGATCTGGACGATACTGCATGGGAGACAAGCTTTGAGTTGCAAGTTCCACCAGGCTTAAGATAGGGGATGCTGTGGTCTGCATGTCGACGATGGGGTCACACAAGACATCATACCATTCTGTGTATTACCAAACCGCCACTTGTTGCTCTGATCGTGCCTACTTTCACGTACTTGGGTAAACCAGGCAAACCAGTGCCTCTCTGAACTAGGTACCAATTTGGAACAGCATATGCAAATGAGCGTCTCTACGACGAGACGAGAGAGATTCATTTCGCAGCCGAGAAAGTGAAACAGGACAGATACTTCGACACCCTCAAGGAGCGCGCTGATCTTAGTATCTTGTTGTATGATGGCCACAGCAACGGTTCAGGTACTTGCCCCCCCTCTCCAAACGGCCAATTCTCAACATGAGACCTGACTAGTCATTCTGGGCTCACGGAGGCCTGAGAGGGTTTATGACCGATTTTTGGTACATCGGCTTCCTCGAGCGCGAAATCGGCTCACGAGGCTACAATCTGATCACAGACCACGACATTAGTGAATATGGTGCACCGCTACTGAAGCGATACAAAGTCTTGCTCTCGGGTAGTCGTCCAGAATATCCAACTTACAACATACTGAACTCCTACGCTTCTTTCCTCGAGGATGGTGGGCACTTCATGTATCTCGGCGGCAACAGATACTACTGGATGACTGCATATGATCCGTCCCGTTCCCACCGCATAGAAGTTCGTCGTACCAACCAAGGCTGCAGAACATTTAGCGTACCCCCAGGCAACTGGCATCACTCTTTTACCGGCGGAACCGGAGGTCTATGGCGTACCAGAGGTCGTCCACCAACCCAGCTATTTGGCATTGGGTCATGCGCCATGAGCGTAGCTGATGGAGTCGGATACGACATCACAGAAGAAACACGGTCAGATGCTAGGCTGGCATCCCTCTTTTACGGCGCTGGACTTGAGACTGCAAAGAATATTCGAGACCTCAGACTTGTACAGGGAACTGCATCTGGAGATGAGATTGATCGTCTTGACTACAGTCTCGGTACACCGCGAAATGCTGTGATTATTGCGGCGAGTAAGCTTGCAGGCGGTCATTCGGATGAGTTCCTCATGTTCAATGAAGAAAGCATGTTTCCTATGACGAACGCCACTGGCACGACTTCTGACAAGATACGAAGTGATCTGGTCTTCTACCAGACTGCCGCTGGAGGGCGCGGTCTTCTCGGTTGGTCCCATGAACTGGGTTGGTGCCTTGACATGGATGAACTATGAGAACAATGTTGCACAGATCACTGCGAATGCGCTGCATGAGTTCACGCGTAAAGGGGAGTTGGCAGGGGTTTAGGAGCATTCGCATTCTTTGGCAGCTGAGTCTGAATAGTATTGGGTAAGTGCAAGTAAGAGGACGAAAAAGCTGCGCAAGGCCAATCTTCGCCGTGTGGGTCACAATTGTCAATCAATCCATTACGACGCATACGCATATCCCCAATTTTATAAATTCCGCTTTTGACAAGACATAAGTGCGGTTCCTGTTGGTCAGACCTTTACGAAGCACCAGACTTAAGCGTGGATAGGGACGAAGCAGGAATGTCCTTTACATCAGACCTGGTAATAGGAAAAGAAGAAGAACACAAAACACAGAATGAAAAGATTTCCATGATGAATAGATGAGTGACGCGCATATTGTTATTCTATTCTTGAGTTGGTGGAGATACTTAAAATAGATTCTGCCAAGAGCCAATCTCGTATTCAACCTGGAGCTATCGATCAAGGCCGATGCTCGGGTATATCATTGGTGGCTTCATCTATGATAGACTGCCAAGAGCTCCAACTTTTCCGCAGATCTGAACCAACATCCTTGGCTAGCTTATGACTTTCGCGATTTAGCACACAGGCAGCATGGCGGCGCACCCTGGCTACGACAAGCTTCATTATGCCTATACTTATTCCCATCATCTTTCTTCGTCCAGAAAACACTGTTACCTTTTCTTTCAGCAGTCACTCGTTACCGCGCGCCATTCCAGCCATTCCCACCGAGTCCTTTCGCTTTGTCTACATTTCCCATCTTCAGTCCCTCGACCATGGCACGCCCTTCGCGCTCCGCGATGTACGCCGACGATGCCACCTTTCTTTGGAAAGCCATACTGCGCTTCCTTGCCATTCTCCTTGCCATCATTGGTATAGCCACCACGGCATGGGCCATGATATCGCACATTCAAGGCCCCACTACCGACACAAACTCTTCTTATGCCAATGGCTACGAAGACGACTATTTCCCCAGCGAAGCTGTCTACTTACCTTGGCAGTACATCACGCTTGGACTCTCCATTCTTTGGAACATAGCCAACATTTGTACACTGCTCGTGCGTAATCGCGCAATCCACCCCGGCGCCAACGTAGCGTGCGACCTACTACTGTGGCTGGGGTTGTTGTTTACGGGCGCATTTGCGACTATTGGCGCCACATCATATAGTTTCTATACTGCGGGCGATGATGATAGCTATGAGGATGGCTTGGGGTATGGAGGTGGGACGTATAGTAACGGGACGCAATTCGACTACACGGCGAATGGGACCACTGTTCCTGCGACGAATCAAAATCAATGTGGGGGGTTCACAACTTGTGCTGCGAGGGATCAGTATGCTAGCGCAATACGGCATAAAGGAGTGGTGGTCGCAGTGGGCGCTTCGATGGCTTTTGTCGTTTTGTAAGCCTGCTTCCACCCTTTCTTCCTTTTCTATATGCTCCACTCTGCACTCATCCCCTTGACCATCACTTTTGGTTCAAAATTTTCTCTCTCGAAACTGCTAACCCGCAGCGTTCAGACTCTTTCATTTCGCTCTCTTCATCTCCGCTTGCCGCTACACCAACAACCGCCGCCAATCCGTGACCAGCAGACAAGCTAGAGCCATCACGGCCGAAGCAACAGAAATCGCACGTAAAATGATCGCTGACATGACCGGTCCGAATGGCGGTTTCATCCCAATAAACCAAGCTCAGCGGGGAGGTAGTTATCAACCGTTACAGCAGAACGAGGCAGGAGAGGCCATGGAGATGAGGCAGCGGCAAAGCAGGACTCAGCCAGGATACGATTATCAGCCTGTTCAGCAAGGAGAGGTGGAAGATGGTCACGGAGAGCAGCTGTCGCGCGAGGATGGTATGAGCAGACGGTATGAGCAAACGGCTCCGATGCCGCCAGCAGCGGAGGCTTCGTCAATGGCCGTGAGAAGAGGCACACAGAGGGCATTTAGTGGGCCGAACGGAGAGACGCATCCGGCTCTGAGGGATGATCCAGATATGATCTCGCACGCAATATAAGACGAGAATTCTCTCTGTGGCCGGAGATAGGTGCCTAAAGGTTCAGAGTAATGCCTGTTTCTGCCCTTGAGAGTATGAAGATGAGCGTTGAAATTGCATAGCATAGCGAAGCGGGCTGCCGTTTGAGTATTGTGGAGCTTGGTGAGTGCATCGGATTGGATATGCAAGATACCCACTTATATAAAGCCTATAATTATAATAACAGCTGTCTTTTGCAGAGCTTGCTCCTTGGATTTTTTACTGCTGCTTTGCGCGAACATCGTCAGTGGCACTCGCTCGCGAAAACAGCGGTTGACACGTCGATTATTTCAGATACGATATCAGACGACGATCATCTGAATGGGGACGACGGACGTTCAAAGAGTTTCAAGATCCTTTTCACAGCCTCTCTAACAGCTTCTTCTAAAGAGGGTCAATCTGAACCAGCCAAATAATCCCTCATTCTCTACATCCCCCATTCCGAAAGCGCTACCATCCACCCTAAACGCGACAAACACTCAACTTCACTGTACTAGCGCCCGCACCTGGACCACGAACAGATACGTAGCCGCACACTGTCGACAAGCAATGGAAGAATTCAAGAACGCAGGTGACAAACAACAAGCCAGAGAGGCGCAGTGGAGCATATCAACCACCATACTGGGCCGACTATAGAACTTTTCGCAGACCTCAGAGATATCCCACATAGTGGACGGCTCTGAGATTTGCAGCTGGTGCGTGACATTTTCCTTGCTGCTAATAACCGAAAAGATTTAGGGATATGATGACGACAAATCTGACCGACGGCGGTTACTAGACACTTGCGTGCTGTCAGTTGTATTGATGGGGCAAGCGGGACAGTTATCAGACAAGCCCGCAACGCCTTACGAAGACAATGTCCGGGCGTCTTGGGGTCGGTTGTATGAACGTGCGCAAACGCTATGGGAAGGGTGTGAACTTCTGAGAACGAGAGTTGGCGGGATCATAGTAGGTGAGCAACCATGTTCCCATAGTGAGATCCTAATTCTGCGTCGCGTGGGGAGAAGAGACTGGCACTGACTATATCAATCGAATCTTGGACAGGAGGAAGCAGTTTGGGAGTCTTCTACTATGATGCAGACTCGGACAAGGATAGAGGAATCCAGGGGCGGCGACCGGGGCTCAAGTCGCTCGGACTGATTAACGCGTCAAGTGTAATGCTAGATGGTAGCCCATTCGGGGAGGCCTCTTCGTCATGAGGTTCGTATATGCATTGAAGTCAGGAAATGGTTTGAAGGACTCAGAAGACATGTTAGTAAGAACAAGTAGAGATGTGCACGGGACATTGTGTCATGCCGCCTGCGTACCAGTGGTATTCTCCAAGTCTCCAAATTCTCACCCACAGAAACGCGGATTCTATCCTTCCAACACATCGCGCCCAGTTGAGTTTCTTCGTGGCAGTGGGTCGCAAGTTGGCCATGGGACTTGAATTTTGAGACATGGCATCATGCACCAAAGGAAAGTCTTGCGACCTTCAAGGGCTGAGTCCAATGCGATAAATGAGATGAACTCACTTCGCAAACAAAATCTGAAAAAGCATAACTACTACGTCTGCGCGAAAGTGCAACTGCTACCACGAAGGCATTCAAGAAGACATCGAGACAGTCCTTACGCACTTGCATCCTTTGCTCCGGGCAACTCCCCCAGCCAACTCTCCTCTTTGACCGCAGCATCCCAATTGCTTCTCGGCAACTCAAAAGTCTCCGTGATCCTCGCATACGAGATCCCACCCAACTGAGCAACCGGCCTCAGGACCTTCAGGTCAACATGACTCCTATCCTCATCAATCGCGTCTTCACGGACCCAGAACCTCGTCGCTTCAACAATACCCACGGCCGCAATACTCATACCCGGTTTAGCGTGATTTTCAAAATCCTTCATATCCGTCAACTTCGCCTCGATCGAGAAGACGGACTCCTGCACTCTCGACGGCGCCACTGTAGCGCTGGGCGCTTAATGCAAGCCTGCCACCGCCCACTCGGATACTCCGTACGGGGCGTCGATGGACGTAGCGTTGACCGCTGGCAACATATTCTCAGAGACGATATTGATAACGCACTCGCCCGTCTCCTTGAGGTTACGATACGTGTCTTTCGAAGGCCCGGGCCGGGACGAGAAGCCGACGATGAACATGGGAGGATCATGGTCGACGACTTGGAAGTAGCTGAAGGGAGCGAGATTGGCGGTCTTCCCATCTGCCGATAGAGTGCTTATGAAGCCGATCGGACGTGGAACGATGCCAGATACGAAGAGTTTGTAATTAGACATCATTGGCCTGCCTTCCGCGAAAGGGTCGATCTCGACATGCTTCTTCTGCAAACTGGCGCCGCCATCGTTGACACCTTGGCCATACCTCCAACTCGGATCCGGTGACTTGATTACGTCGATTGGTGCGTTGGGATCAAAATCCGGGCGTGTTGCCTCGACTTTCTTGAAGTCCGGGGTGCTTCGACACGAAGTTTTTTTTTTTTTTTTTTTTTTTTTTTATATTTTTTTTTTTCCGGGGGTTTTTTTTTTTTGGGGGGACCCGGGGGGTAGATCCCGTTGGGTCATCATTCAGCTTCGTTCACGTAGAATGTTGACGAAGGGTGCAACATTACCAACAATGGTCCTCGGGCATTTGCTCCTTCTCAAGCATGATGTGTGCGTATTTGTGCGATTGCTACTCGGGATACCAGAGGTCTCGGTGCTACGATAGAGCGCTCTTTGTGAAGGATTTCGTGGTGGGTATTCGTTCCCACTACCCAGTGGACATGGACGGTCTTGTCCAGACTTTTGAAGTGCCAGTTAAGGGCCCAAGCGTTCTCAGACTGCTGACTCAGAGTATACTAAGAATATGCACAAGGCTTAGTCATGTCCTCCCACATGTCCATGTGCCCTTTTGAGAGATGCACGCAATAGCGCTATAATTCGGACAATACCATTTGCTGTCCTCACTTCTCCTTGATGTGCTCGCCCTTCGACTCTACAACCTTGAGCCTTTCTCAGTACCTACTTGAGCCGTTGTTCTCTTCGCCAGATTTCTATGCTATTGATATCCTTGGGATGGATGTTATGTGTGCTCGGCGATTCGATTTCATTGATCAAGGAATGAAGTCGAACATCTGCATGATGTCCGCTCTATTTGACTGGCCTATGGTGGCGAGACAAAGTGAACATGTCAGCGTGTCTAGTTCCTTCTATGCATGCGTCCTTCCTACATCCTTCCATGCATATTCCATCATTGTTCCTTTCATGTAGTTAGCCATAGATAGCCGTGCTTTGTCTCCGTCAGCTACATAATAGCTGATGGCCCCACCACTGAATCTATATGCTTTCTATCATCACCACTGCTGTGCTACGCTGAGAGAACAGATTGTCAAAATTCAGGTATGTGATGTGTAGATTGCATCAATTGTAGTATCTCAGGACTCCCCTGGGCCAGTATTTGTACCCCATGCAAATTAGGTGGTTGTTCCAACAGGTGGCTGGGAAGGGGCTGGGAACCTTACTTTGACACAGAGTTAGTGTTCTCATTCTCACGCATCACACATACACAGGGCACATAGATATGAGGTATCAAGTGGTTGGGCCGTTCCCGACGCCGGGATAACAGCTGAATAGAGGCCTGAACAGACGTATTCGTACCCCAGCGCCGAGTAAAACTCCCACGGCTATGGCATAGACCTGAGTGAAAAAGTAGCTAGCTATATACAGGTGTGGGTGGGTGGGATAAAAAGTATGCAATGGCTCTGAAAGAGACGAAATCGAATGAAGAGCCATTGACAGGTGCAAAACAGGTGAATATGTAGCTCGTAGTGAACAGGTGTCTCCTACCCCTGACAGGGTACCTGAAACAGCGGCTATATCATGAAACCCACTAACCCCCAGTTCCACTGTGGCACCAGTAAGACCAAAGCGGATGACAAAGTCGGCCTACTCGGCTCACAGAGAGCCATGATGGATTCTAGAAGACCACGCCTTTATGTGGGGTTCCGGTATCCACTGTTGGAAGAACCCTGTCATGTTCAGCTTCGAGGTGAGCATAAGTCAACTCTTAGTCGTATCTTTTCACCGCAAACTATCACTTGTCGTAGAAGGCATCAAAAGAACATCCCACTGTCACGCTCCGGCTCCCTCCGCGCACTTCTTCTTCCGATGAGGAACAATGGCAAAACAAGTTTTCGGGAGTTTGAAAGAAGCGGAAATGCTTCAGATCATAGGCTTGACACAATGCCGCCCATTCTTCAAGCTTTCGTACGCTAAGATTTCTCTTCCTTATGATACATAGTGTATGGTTTGTTGTTATTCCGTGGATGAGTAGTGCTACTTATACTAGGTGGCAAAGATAAATGCCGAAAGGCTGGGTTTCAAGACTTACGTATCTAACCAACCTTAACATCCCTCCCTATCCGATCAATTCGGATAAACACTACCCCACTATTACTGACCGTACACCCAATATAACTATCATCATTAACATCAAAGGCGATCCCCACGTAGTCAGGATTGCAACTGCCGCCAGGCCGATCAAGTAGGCAACTTCCTGAATCTGAATTGAATGATGCGCCGCCGCAGTCGCTGTTCGTTATCAGGCTACGCAGCAGTCGTAGGAGGTGTCTGTCATGAGGCTGGTGTAGGGGTCTTGGCCGCGTACGCAGGCGAAAGGCGCATCGGAGATGTAGTATCCGCATAATGTGGTCTGGAATGGCGCTGCTGGTTAGCTCTGCTTGTATAGTCAAGGTGGAAAAGACTTAGCTCTGGTACAAGGGTGATGATGGAGAGGGCAGAAAGACGTACGAGGAGGTTCTGGTCGCTGCACGCTGCGCAGACCGTTGCCGTTCCGCTATTGGTGGTCCTGCGCATGATTCGAAGTCAATATGTGGTTCTTGAAGGGAAGTAATAGACATGCAAGAGAGATCTAATAACTGCGACTCTCATTGTGCCGCGAGTTTTAAGTACGTAAGCGTGCAGGTCAGGCTCGAAGTGGTCACCAGCAAGGGTGGTCACAATATTGGTGGTCGAGGCAGGTACAAGAATCACCGGCATCATTTTGAAGTTCATCCTCTTGAAAAGTAGACATGGAGTAGAGACGTGCTTGCCCATCGGATCTATGGGACGGCCGCAAGTTGGTACCAGTCAAGGAGGTGTGATGCGAGATTTGTGCTCACATGACGGAGGAAGTGAATTTTCGCGGCTTTTGTCTTTGTCACTATCGAAGTTGTACCAGTCTTAATGGAAGTCGCGCCCGTGACGATCTTTGTAATCGTCGTGTCAATATCGATTAGTACGCCTCATGTCACTGCAGAGGGGTAGCACTTTTCGGAGTCAGTGGTCGATGGTTCGTCCCAGCGGAGTGCTGGAAGCCCGTTGGGCTTCGTGGTATCGCGTGCAGCGAGAGCGTCTTTTTCTTGTACTGCTGGAGTTTTATGCTTCTTCTTCTTCTTCTTAGTGTATATGCTATCTGAGGCATACTGTATGATTTTAGAGTCAGCGCTCTTGAGGCCAATGATGAGTGAGTTAGAACTTACAACAAATCCGTCAGAAGTGTTAACGGTACTGGTCGGAGTTACGGTGACATCAACGGTAGCCATAGGTTCATCAGTCACAACGATCAGAAAGGATTACATACTGAGCTCTAGGAGGTTTCCCAAAAGAATCGCTGAACTCGACATTACTTCTCATGCGCACAATAAAATCGGAAAAGAGACCGTGGGAAAGAAACACATCCAACATCTACTTCATTGATGGAGGTAGTGGTAGACGTGAATGTCGAATTTTGAACCGGTCAAGGTCTGAGTCACTGTCACCAACTTTGTGGACGTACAAGAAGCGGCCAATGGGGCTTTTGTAATGATAGGGATGCTGGTGCTGACCACTGAGCATGCGTCGTAGACGTCATTGTTGTTGGCACGGAATTGACAAAAAAAAAGGTCGTACTTTGTCAAGCAGACTTCAAAGATCGAATTCGTTGATACAGAGGTTGATGCGCAGGCAGAAAGGCAAGGACGGCAGTTGAGAGCTTCATGGCGGTAAGAGTCTACAAGACAAGACACTTTGTTCGAGACAGATTACAGAGCAAGGCTGCTAGGACATCATTTGTACAGATCGAAGAAGTCCAAAAGCTATATTTTGACAGGGGGGGTTAAATTCTCGAAAGAGACGGGAACATGAGGGGCCGTTAACACCGGCATCTCAACTAGTGACTTTCCATATCTCTTAAAGGACTGCGAAGGTCAAGTACAAACATTGATGAGTGGAGACGACAGAGCTAAAAACCAAGGGGCTAGTTTTCGAAAGGCTACGGATTATCCAACTTACCTACTCTATGACCACAACATTCTTGATGTTATCTCAACCACGCTGTATGTGGAAGGAAAGCAACGGTATCGCACTAGAAGCTGATGTCTGCGAAACTGAGCTTTTCACCTCTTGTCTTCAGAAGGTCTGTTTTTGTCTCTAACAGACTCCACGCACGCCAATAGGCATTCGATAGAGTATGGCTTTCTGTCGGCGAATTTGTAACAAAGTCTCACAATGCCTGACACCGTCTTATGCAGTGATCTAAAGCTAGAGATACCGAGATTGCGGAGAAATGCTAATTGCTGTTAGAATACGATTTATCAATAAGATGGCCAGGTTCTGCCGAGCAGAATGAGCATTGTCCCATGGCTGCAAATCGAAGCACTGTAGTCTAGGGACAATGACGCCATTACCTCAACTCAGACCGAGATGTACAGGTCACCAGTCAGCTTAGCAGATTCCTTGGACTTTGAAAGATAAGAAACTTGACGGAAGAGTAGGAAGCGTTAGGATTTGGGGAACCCCTGAAAAGCTGGACTTTAGTTGGAGAAATCCCGTCTACTAGTAGCCCCATTGAACTTAGCGGATCTCACCAGACTTGGCACGCTCGTCGCTACATTCCATCCTCGAACACACACCTCCTCATCAAGTCCACTCTCAAGCTCCACAAAGTACCCGCCAGATGATATCCCAGATTGTGCCATCTTCTCCCACACCCGGCGGACGAACGCATCTCATTCCAGGACAGGGAGTAATCCTGTATCAGCCTCAGCCTCAGCCTCAGCAGTCCATGGATGTCTGACTAAGACAGAAGGGTTGGGGATTTCGGCCATTTCCGACTTGGTCAAAGGAACTAGCCGTGCACGCAAAGACCACTCGGTGCCGTGCGCGGGCAGCCGCGGGAAAATTGTAAGTAGACAGTTCCTGCCTTGGAAAGACCGGCAGAGCCGAGCTGTTGGAAGCTATCAACGCTATGTATCGATGGTACGAGGAAGCGTAGGTCTGCTATGTGTACGTAACCGCCGTTGTCAGTGTGTTTCTGCAGAGATCTCTGTAGGAAATAGATCCGTGGGAGTTTTAAGGCTTTAATGCATGTGATACAGAAAGCCTAATTCCATAACCGATTTTATCTTGAAGTGACAAAGCATCGTACCTTACAATTTCGAAGCAAGAAGAGAAGGAAGGAACCGTCTGTTGTACCGAAAATCGCCAGTACTTAATCCAACATTTTCCTTAGACCCAGACGCATTGTACAGCTCCTCAAGCGAGGGAGAACATAAGAGATGAAGGAGCGACAAAGCGACAGTTTTAGACAGACCATCGCTATTTTTATTCAAATCAGCAACTCCTCCGAAATTCCTCCCGCATTGCTTATATTCGTCCACCTTCTGCAGCAAAGAAAACGTAAAGGAAGGGCCTGTGTTACATAATCCGCACTTTTCACCCCCACCACACCACAATCTCCTGCACAGCCTCCACGGCCCCCATGGCCCCCACTTCCCCATGGGCGCCTAACCCAATTTCTTAGGATCACCGCACTTGTGCCTGCCATCAGGCTGCAAGTCCGTAGGCGTAGGTTTGAGATTGCTCTCAAAGATATCATTCGCAATGCCGATTCCCAACGGGACACCGCCAATTGGGAACTGCTGACCAGGCCTATCGCGCCTGGGACCCGTGGTCACGTATCTGATATCTTGAGCATTCTTATACTGGCTCGTGCCATTGGGATTGACATTGGTGGACACGAGGATGTCCTTGGACGCAAAAGCGTCGAAGCGCCAGTGGACGCCTAGGAAGACGCGGCTGAGGGCTGCGTCGAACATGGCGTCCCAAACGCTGTCGAAATGGCGGGGAACCAACGTGCGGACGTTGCCGAGCTGGTCGGTGATGGGCTGGGATGGGATGTAGTCGTTGTAGAGGTCGCGGCTGATGCCGTTGAGTTCGTCGGAGATCAAGTCGAAGGAGATGTCATCGGGGGCGTCGTCGGCGAAGGGAAGGTTGTCACGTCTCTTGTAGTACAAGCGGAGGATTTGGAAAGAGGCACCGGAGAAAGTGGCGTGGCCGGAGGGGTAGGACGGGAAGGGGGGCTTGAAGTTGAAGTGGTTGCTGTTGGTGTCTGGAGCACCCTCTGTGAACCAGAAGGGGTCTGCCGCGGAAGTCGGATCGAAACGGACGCCGGACAAGGGACGCCAGAACTCGAAGCAGTATTTCTCTTGCCAGGCGAAGATTCCCGCGTCGGCCAGTGCGGTGTTGAAGAGAGCAAAGACACGCACGAAATCTGCGTTGGTCGCTTCGTCCGTTGGCCCCGCGACTTTTCTCTGCCAAGCGATGTTGCGAAGACATTGGTTGAAGACACGAGGAGGCGTGCCGAGCAGATTCGAGCCATCGTAGGCCCAGGTGAAACCCGTCACCGTCTGTGAGGGCGTGCGCTTTGTGGAGTTCAAATCGAATCGACCACCTTCACGGTAGATGTCATTGAACGCAGAGTAGTACTCATCTGGGTCGTTGGTGCCAAAACCCACGGGTGGGTCCGCGATGAGGTGCTCGTCGAATTTGCCGTTTACCTGTCCTTGAACCGCCACGCGTTGAGCGGTCATGCCGTAGAAGGGGGCCTGATAGAAGCGAATTGCTCGCTGTGGTCCGTCGGGGTCGTTTGGGTTCACGGGGACAATTCTCACTGGGTTGGTGGGGTCATCGCCGAACTTGTACAACCCAGGAGTGGGACGGTAAGAGTCTTGGCCAAAAAACCCGTTGTTGAGAAAATTGAGCATTGCATTTCCAACTGCAACGCCGAATTGATAGCTTGAGGATAAAGTGTCTAGATTGGGGAAATTCGAGACCGCGTTATTTAGGAATTGGGTGAGCATATCGGTTGTAGCAAACGGGACGGTACCACTGGCTGTCGTGAAAAGCGTAATGAGTACAGTGTTTGCAGCTCCTGCGACGGCGAGACGTGCATCCGTTGCACCGTCAAGAGCAGGGAGCACAGCTTTCGGGTTCGTGCTGTTGGGTGTCAGATAAGTAGTGTTGACGCCTTTCTTGTCTGGATTGATTGCAAAGTAAGCATCGTTAATGGCGAGATGCAAGATACCGAGAGATCTCGCGGCGGACGGCGGTCCATTTTGTGGTGCGGCGGGCGGCGGATTGTTCGTATTTCCCTCTATTGAAGTCACAAGTCTGACGAGATCAAGACCGACGCTATTCCAGTAGAAGACGTAATTGGTATTGTACTCGGCAGGCTCTGAAGATGGGGGGAGGACGATGGCATTAGGGTTCTCGTTGGACCTAATGAGCGTGCGTATGGATGAATAATCTTGGTTGGAATTCATGCTTGCATATGGATTGGAATTCATAATCGAGGGTGAGTTTTAAAAGTCTAGGTAAGTTGACCAAGGTCTGAGACGTTGAGCTCTTATTTAGTCATAGTATACCAGCGAACTACAGGCCTTTTGTATTCTTCGAGACTGTTGACTGAATTCTTGTAGGTAATTGAAAGCTGAAAATAGTGGCACTGCATTGTCAGCGCGTGATGTTCTTGGGAGTCTGACGCAGGATCTTTTCATCCCGCACATCCTCGGACCCCCGAGGGATGACAGAAGTAAACTTTTTATTGGATGTTCGACTCTTTTTTACTACATCGAGCACGCGGACACGGAATGAAATGCAACATAGTCGTCCTTCTGAGAAGCGTGGCCGCTTTTTCTGCCTTGATTAGGCTGAGCTTTTGCTGACGGATTCCGAAGGACACACCACCACGCTGGACAGACGGGACGCCTGATGAAAGGAGACATTCTCTTCAATTGGCGTGCTGGATTCTTGGAACGCCTCACGGAAGAAGATGTTGTTGAATACGCGAGGCTGACCAGGAGAAAACGGCTCGCTTACTATCGGATCGTCCGTGATGGTGCCTGCTTCGTCCGTGAAGGGGCAGTACGGTGCTTACGTGGATAGTCATCATCTGCCCCAATCGCTCAAGTTGCGCAGGCAGAGGCCCATAGGATGAGGGGTCATGAATTGGGAAGTTTTCAAAACTGACCATGTGACTCTTTCGAAAGAACCCATGTACCAAATTTGCAACCTCCGTTTCGTGTGGTATGTGTGAAGTATGGAAGGTTAGGTTAGCCTGCCAATAAGCCGTCGACTATATCGGACTAAGTATCATAAAAATTCGTCTGTCTCAACGACATTGGTATCATCAGCGCTTAATCGAGCCATTCAGAGTTGCTTCCAAAAACCATCAACGTGGATCTGCCATTGCGCAGACCAGAGACTGCGCTTCTCGTTGAAAACAATGACATTTTGCAAATGCCTGTTGACACCATAGAGTATCTGACACTATAGCAGACCCTTATGCATAGGTCCAGCTGTCTTTGTTGCAGCCCACGGTGCTGTATGAGGATGCGCGTGCGCCCCAAGATCTCGGCGAGGATGACCCCCGCCAGGAGAGCCAGGGCCTTGAGGTCCACCATCGGCGGTACATGCGATTGGGGGATCGACCCCTTGATTCCGGCCTGGTATGCAGGTGGCGAAAGCCGGGTCCAGGTCCCGAATGAAAGATGGAAGGGCTATAGAAGGCGCGTATGGTGTTCCAGGACGTAGTTCGATCGTAGAGGGACCACATGGGAGATCGGCGAAATTGAAGACGTTGGTTGAATCACCGTCAATGTCTATGGTCGACAGCTCGCCAGGCGCGAATGATGTTGTGATAGGGCCATAGCCTTGGCCAATTTGGTTACAACCGTCACTAGCCATGATGGATGGGAAGACCGCATATATACTCGGGGACATTCTACAATCATTATTCAGCTTGCTGATCACGGTGCAGAGGGAACAACGTACACAGGGATTCCAGAAGGATTAGCCGAGGTTGGAGGACTGGGCAATAAAGCCAGGCACGCCGTGTTCTGCGGTTCAGTCGGCCAGTAAAAGACGGTCACCCACTGGACCAGTCAGTACGACTGGATGGATGGTAGAAGAGCAGTGTGACTGACTTGGTAGAATAAGTTGCATGGGGAGTACGTGTGGCATGTTGGTGTAGGCGACCCGTTAGGCACAGTGATAGAAGGTTCCAGTGGGAATGAGAGATTGACAAAATCTCGTGCACCGATACGTTGAGCCAGGGGAGGTCGCCTAGCCTCTCGATCTTTGGGGGACGCAGAACATGTGGGCGCACATGATAGGGCAGCGATGCAAGCTAGCACCACAAAGCTGGGTAATTTCATTGCACGGCCTACACCTGTTTCAACACTACTACGTGTGAGAAAGAAGGTGGCGTGAGGAAAACAACTTTCAATTAATGATCAGGAAGGAGTTGGAATATATGCAAGTATCCGCGACAGAGTACTGGCTGATAAGGAAAGATTCGATATGAGCGTCCAAGATAAATGGGAAATTAAACAGGCATAGCATATCGTCCTCGGCCTCTCACCCAAGTGGTCTACACGCAGAAGAGATGAGCAAGGACTGCCCTCGGGCCCTCGCCAAGGTCCTGCGGGATCGGACGTGTAGAAAAGGACTATCCATACGCCCAAAAAGAATGCATTGCGGCCTGCCATTAAGGAGAGGATGCGGTCAGCCTTTGAATTATCTATTGATCACTTTGCTCATTGCGTCTCCAAGTGGCACGACAAATGTGAAAGGGGGTGTTGTAATTTTGCAATGTTGCAATGGGAGCGAAAGCAGGCATTTTCTGAAACTGTGTTGCATCTGAGGAGGCGCCTGTGGTGAATGCGGATTGGTTGGTGTCTGACTGCCGGTATCAAGAGACGTGGCCGAGGAGCCGGGGGCAGATGCTGAGCCTCAATAGTACTTCGTGTAACGGAAGCACCTGATGTATAGAAGACAGGGGAAGTAACGCTCGGCATTCCGACCGGACCAGAAGACAACGGAGCCAAAGGCATATCTGCAAGGGACCCCCCTCCCCCTCCTTCTGATGCTTACAGGTGGCAAAGCAGATGGCGAATGTGTTGCACAGCTGATGCGCACCTATCCTTGGCTCAAAGTAACGAGGATGTGAATGTCCAACTTATTTGGGGAGCGGGGGCGTAGTCGTGCCTCACGGGGACTTGCAGAAGGATTCAAGATGAAACGAAATGGGGAGCGACGGAGGGCTGTGTTTCCAACGCAGAAACTTTTCTTTGCAGGATCAGAATTTAGTTCGCTGTCCTTCCCAAGAGACGTTCTAATATATCGAAGAAGTCTGACATTCATCAATGCTCTTATCCTCAATTCCAAGTCGTGTAGAAAGGATGAAGACGTGAAGAGAGTTGAACATGTGCATGTTGGCCTTCAAAGCCTTACAAACTCAGCCTTATGATGAGGATGACGACAACATCAGCGCTAAATTTAGTACCCAGAGCCCCCGGGCCGTCGTCCACTCCGGCTCCGGTCTCTTGGCCTCCATCGCAATACTGGTAAGATATAACCAGAGTACCTCACCCATCTTCCCCACTGACGCTTTACCTATTGTCAAAGGGATGGCGATGATGGTCTTTGGTCTTCCTTCGCCTTGCGGGTCGGGAATCCAGAGCAAACTGTCCGGGTGCTCATCTCTACCGCCGGCGAAGCCACCTGGGTCGTCCTTCCCGGAGGATGCCCTCCCAACACACCTGGCATCACTTCCTTGTTGACATGTTCACAATCTCGCGGTGAACTGTTTGATACGTCAGGGTCAAACACCTGGTCCGCGTTGGGCAACTACTCTCTGGGGTTAGAGCTCAATCTTGGCTACAATGACCCTGCAACCTACGGACTCGATACCGTAGCTTTGGGACTCAATAATGCTACCAGAGGACCAATTTTACAAGGTCAAGTGGTCGCTGGCTTGGAGTCGTACGATTTCTATACTGGCCTATTTGGCTTGGGGGATCAGCCGACGAATTTCACGGCTTCGCATGATCAAAGCAATCTGACCGGCACGGTTCCGCATCCGAGCTTCTTAACCACGATGAAGAGCCAGAACCTAATTTCAAGTCTGTCTTGGGCCTATACTGCTGGAGCAAACTACCGTGAGTGTATTTATCTCAAGTCGGCTTATCCAAAGTTATGGTACGATCTTTACGAGAGCTTTCTCTGCACTTCCGACTACTGCTTATGGAGACGAGCAATATGCTCAGTATCCGGAGGGGATTCTGAATAAAAAACTGTCGCCATTTTGTGCTCATTGCTGACTCTTAACAGGCTTGAAGGGCGTCTTTGGGAGCTTGACATTTGGAGGCTACGACCTTTCGCGGCTAGTCCCAAACAATGTCACTTTCGACCTCGCTCCAGACATCTCTCGAGACTTGGTCGTTGGTCTGCAATCGATAACTTCGACCGCCGCGAACGGTTCCCCAATATCTTTGCTTCCTTCGTCGATCCTGACTTTCATCGACTCAACTTTTCCTTACATCTATCTCCCTCTCGAATCATGTCAAGCATTTGAAGAAGCGTTCGATCTGACATGGAATGATACTATGGAGATGTATTATATTAATGACACACTTCATCAGAGTCTGACCGCAAGGAATCCTAATTTTACGTTCCAGGTCGCCAATTCGCAGACGGGTGGACCTACTGTTGATATTGTCTTGCCGTACGCAAGTTTCGATCTTCTTTCTTCATATCCGATGGTAGCCTCGGTATTAAACGCGACTCGTTATTTCCCGCTACAAAGAGCCACGAACGAGACTCAGTACACTCTTGGTCGGACATTTCTGCAAGAAGCGTACGTATATCATAGCATCAGATCCGTACCAGTTGAGAAAGCTGACCAACGTATGTCAGATATCTAATCACCAATTACGAGCACTCTAACTTCTCCGTTTCGCAGGCTAGGTTTGACGACGGCCTTGCCGAAAACATAATCGCCATCCCCTCAGCAGATCCTCCTCCCACGCCAAAGTCACATAGTCGCCTCAGTCGCAACTCTATCATAGGATTGAGCGTTGGAGCCACAGCTTTGCTCATTTTCATTGTCTTCCTGGTCTATTCTACGCGAAAAAGGCTACGCAAACACTCTCCAAAGAACGGTATGAGCCAGATCACAGGTTCTCCAATGCTCTCACAGGAAGTCAAGCCCACGAACATTTCCGCACTACATGAGATCGACAGCAACAGCTTGTATCAGCAAAGAGAGCTCCCTGATAGCGGTAAAGTGGAGCTTCTGGATGGGAATTCGCCGTCAGGGTCTGGCAACGAAATCTCAGAAATGCCTCAATCTCCTGCACCTGCACCACTGTGCGAACTTGGAACTAGGCACACATCCATTGCGACCTCTACTGTCCACAGGCAGAGTGATCGGAGTAAAACCGCAATTATTGTCAAGACTGACATTTTGGGGGAGAGTAGCAACAGCTCCGGGACACTGAAAGAGTCCCCTTGCGTTGAAACTGTGATATCATCGTCACCAATACGCAAGTCCCTGAATCTAGACAGACCATTACGAACGCCGCCTCAGCGGACGTTAGAGTACTTGAACCGAGCTCTGCCATCGATTCCGAATTCAGATAGCACACAAGTCTCGCCTACAAAGACCAGCTCTTCTAGTCGTTTTTCAACGACGAATTTCAATCATGACCAGTCAAGCAGGACCTCTACCACCTTTTCTGATTCCGGAACTGCCCCTCCAGAAACGTCACTCGACATGATATGGAAGGATTACGATATGAGCTGGGAGGTCCCCCACCGCCGACAGGAGCCTTCGCTTTTGAGCTTGTCCTCGACCGACGTCGAGATCATGATACTACAAGAGCCCGTAGAGAGGCAGATGCGTGAGCACCCTTCTTTGAGTTCTCTGTCGACAAACGTCGAGATTGCAGTACCACCTGGAACACCGAAATCGCAATTACCGAGCAGCGCCAGTAGTCGCGAGGGGGAGCGAAGAACACGCGGCGGCTTTTTCTAGTCCATCTCTCCAGGCCCAATACGGTACCTCGATACCGTCATTGGAGCTACGCATCAGTAATAATAATATGATCAATTAGCAAGCCTGTCCGGTGAGATGGATTCCTCTCCCAGTTAAACATGGCTGCTCCGCGTTTGGCCACACATCTCGAGCTCGGCTCTAGTCTCATGCCGGCAATGTCCACGCCAGTCGCCCAAGCGACATGCGACAACGATTCGCACAGACCTCTGTGTCTGAGAATAATGTCTAGTCATACCCACAATCGCAGATACCAAGTACATGTCTACGGGAACCTATGCGGTCGCCGTTCACACATCGACCTCAATATTCACCAACAACAAACACCAGCATGCTGGCTCCATATCTACTACTCACATTTCTCCCTTGTACCCTCTCCGCCACACTCCCATCGCAGACTGCAGCCCCACCGACCCATTCACCACCCCCCAAACTCACTTCATCTCCCCCTAGCCTCACCACCACCCCCTCATCTTGCTGGGACCCACCCCACCCTCGCATCTGGATCTATCCCGCGCACTTCCGGGACTGCGAGCGCGCCGCCGCCGGCATCCTCCGAAACATCGACGCCTCCACCGCCGTCATCTTCTCCCGAGACCCCAGATCTGGCTTCCGACTCCCGGCCGACTACCACTACCGATCCTGCTGGATATCTCTGAACATAGACCCAGGGGAAGCGGACGAATTTGAACCACAGGTAGCGTACATCGCGGCGTGGGACCTGGCGAGGGAGTGTACGAGTGTGACGCATCGATTTGGGGGAAGGAGGACGGTAGGGCCAAGGGATAAGGTCTTTCTTTATATCAATGGGGAGTGTGTGCCTGGTGTTGGTGAGGAAGCTGAGACGGTAGGCGTTGGGGTGGGCAATTGGACTACGCATGTCGCTGCCAAGAGCTAGGTGGGTATGTCAAGTGAAGTGACCTAGCAAGAAGATGCAAGACAATGGAATTATTATTCACTCTCTCAAGCCGTCATCTCCAATGATGCCCGGAGGGCGAAGACCGCATCACGGCTACCATGCATAAAATCCCACGTATTCTCGTCAAAAGCCACGTAATTGCCGCACAGGCGACTTCACCAGCGACTCTCTATACAAAACCCGAACTCCTGGCTGCTTCGTGCAGTCCGAAAAAGACGGACTGAGGTTCCACAACTCTTTCAAGTCGCCTCAGTTATCGGCGCACGTATTTGTCCCTACTCCACACCCACCCCCACTCCTGGAAAAAATACCCGACGATCCCATCCCCCACACCCCCCACATCATTTCGACAGATCCTAAACCCCCACGCCCTCGCATTCTCCCCCCGGGATCCTTCGTCGCGAACCCCAACAGCCCCTGCAACGCCCAGCTCAGGACCTGCCAGCTCGCGAACCCGCCATCGCTCACGAACCCGGATGCCGACGTCGCTTCCGCGGTCGCGGTGGTGCCCCGCCCGTCGGCGGCGCTCGTGAGGAGGGCGGCGGCGAGGTTCGGGCAGCGGGATCGGGGTCGCCCATGAGTGCTGGAAGTAGAGCGGGATGGGGGAGGCGGGGACGGGGAAGGGAAGGGACTGAGGGCGAGGAGAAGAAGATGGCGTTGGTTGCCGGTAGGCGTGAGAGCGCTGTGTTGCTGTTGCTGTTGCTGTTGCTGTTGCTGTTCTGTTGCTTTGCTGTTGCTGTTCTGTTGCTGTTGCTGTTCTGTTGCTGTTGCTGTTGCTGTTGCTTGCTGTTGCTGTTGCTGTTGCTGTTGCTGTTGCTGTTGCTGTTGCTCTGTTGCTTGCTGTTGCTGTTGCTGTTGCTGTTGCTGTTGCTATTGCTGTTGCTGTTGCTGTTGCTGTTGCTGTTGCTGTTGCTGTTGCTGTTGCTGTTGCTGTTGCTGTTGCTGTTATCATTTTCCAGGATCCCATTCCCGTTCCCCATCCCCCTCCCGGCGCCCGACGAAGTCGACCTCGATCCCACTATCGCTCGCCGCACAAGAACCGTCTCAAAGCCCACCCGGCCCTGATCGATCTCGATCTCGAACATCAGCACTTGCTGGTGCTCATCGCGTACCGTGAACTCGAAAAGCCCGTACAGCAGCTGGCTCAACTGCATGTACGTGGGGCGCTTCCTGCGGTATGTGATGAGGTTGATTTAGACGTAAGTGCTGGACGAGATGTACTGGGACCGGTTCGAGGCGATGGGCGAGGCGGGCTCCGAGAGCACGTGGCGTCGGATATCGAGCAGGGCGCCGTTGAGGGCGGAAGTTGGTTCGGGAGCGGGGATCAAGGCGCCAAAGTGGGTGAAGGTTAATTTGAAGGCGGTGTTGGAGATGGGAAAGGAGATGGGGCTGGATAGCGGGTGGGTGCTGTTAGTGCTGAGGCGAGGTTGGGTGGAGGGTCTGGAGGGGTGGAGGGATGGAGGGAGCATGAATGCAAGAATTGGGTCGGCGATTGGGAAGAGCGGCATGAGGAGACTGAGCGCAAGATGCTGCGTTCATGGTGTGGGTGTCTGGAGGGTAGTTGACGTCGCTCAAACGCGATTGGGGGCGTCATGTTTTGATTGTAAGTAATGAGAAAGCGAGGACACAAGGTGGGTGATTCGCACTTTGAGCGCTTACTGCAGATGGCGACGTGCAGGGAAACTGGACGCGATATTGGTGCTGGGGTCGCGCAGGTGTGGACGGGATTCTTTTTATGCGAAACGCAGGTTCAGATGACGTTTCCGAAGGGTTGATCCAGTCACGTGGGTTAGGAGGATTGTTGAGAGGGGAAAAGGATGCAAATGGCTTTGTTTGAAAGTGTTTGGGTCGGAAGTGGAAGAGACTGTTAAAAAGAGAGAAAGTTTGCGTCGAGTTTGTCATGCGGTAGTCTGATGCATCAAGAATCGATTCACATTTCAACGTGGACGGCGCGTTCATCTTACCATTGTATCATTATGCTAACAGTTATTGTAAGGTTGAAAGTCATTAGAGCATTCCATGAATGTGATGGTGCTGAGTTGCGAGCTTTTTACCGGCTTTCATGCGCCAAGGCTGCTGATGCATGCTCTGTCTGTTTGAGCACAAGCGCTTCGGGCCAAGCTATTGGTCCCTGCGGAGCTGAATATTTCAGCAGGTGTATTTGTTAGCTTGCCTTATCACTCTCGAAATCCCCGTAGAGCTACCTGGTACACACCAGGGCCTACAGAAGCCGCCTACCCACGCCTCTTCTTCAACATGGCAGGTTTTCCACCCACATAGATGAAAGACAAGATAGCCGTGAGCAAACACAAAGCGGCCACCACCAGGTTCATGTTTCCGTACCCGGCAGCGTCCTTTAATGATCCGCTAACGAGTGGCCCAACGGTCAATCCAGCGCTGAAAACCATCGAATTGATACCGTAGAGCTGAGCGTAAGGTCCATTGGCGCCGAAGAGGTCGGGGTTCGACTTGTCGTACATTCCAACGACATAAGACGCCTCAACAATAGACGGCGATCCGATGACCCCCATGCCAAGCCCGCAAAGTGCAAGCAAAGCGCAGTACACAATGATTTGAGACTTCCCGCCCGAACGGACCAGCCGGAGCAGAACCAGGACAGGCACGAGGTATCCGAAGCCAATGACCGCGGCAGGCTTAGGGCCATAGCGATCGACGGCCCACCCTGCGACGGGCCCAAGCACTAGGTAAGGCAGGACCAATGCAATGAAGAGGAGCCCGGCGCTTAGGGAGTCGAAGTTGAAAAGCTCCTGAGCTTCTGTTGGGATCGTAGCGTCGAAGGTTGCCAACAAGGTTGCTTGCACAAAGGCCAACAAAAGGGCGGTGAGAAGTCGTGGGTCTTTTAGGCAGTACAGGATTGGGAATGAGCGTATCGCTTTCGGTTGATCGGGCGGGATCTTGTATTCTTGGCTTTGTTCTTTTCGGATGAGCGGATCCTCCTCGGTCTCTTCGTCCCCATCCTCGGCATCTTGCTCTGGCTGCGCGGCATGGCCATTGGATACTTCTTCTTCTTCGTCCTCATATTTGGCAGCAGTCTTCTTCTCGATGATCAGAATTCTCATGATGAAATCGAGGGCTAGGATGGCGAAGCCTAGTCCGAATACACCTGCGCGAATAAGGAGTCAGGCTTTCATTTTTCAGATGAAGAGAACTTCCAAAGATCTTTTGAGATCTGCGAAAATTGAGAGCAAACAATAGTTCCTTCTCGTGCAACCACGTAGCTTATAATTTAGGTAACCATTCCCCAAGGAAGGTTGAAAACGCAAAACCTTACCTCCATAGCCTGCAGATTTGTAAATGATGCCTCCCAGAACAGGAGCCGCCAACTCGCCAATCGAGATGAAGCCAAAGATCTAGATGCATCAGTCAGAGAGAACATCTCGTAGGATCGTGAGCGGCCAACGCACGGAACCGATCGTCTTTCCCAGGTTTTCCGGACCGACAGTATCAAGCACCAGAGCCAGCCCAATCGTCCACACCACAGCAGCGCTGATACCTTGCAAGACACGCGCGACGGTCAAGACGGCGACATTCTGGCCCAGGAAAAGGAGCAGTGTAGCCAGTAGTAAGGCTACCAGCCCGACGAGGAACGGCAATTGGCGCGTAGGCAGTCTGTCCGCGAGGATTCCCGCCGGCGGTGAGAAGAGCACGCTGGCGCCTGCGTAGGCTGCGAGTAGGCCCGAGACATGGCTCTGGATCTGATCGGGGGGTAAATCGACGCGGTCTTGTAGGATGAAGGGCAATATTGGAACGACGAGGCCGTACAAGAAGAGGTCTGTGAACAAGCCGATGCCGACGGTGCTGACGATGAAGAGGGTGCTGGACCTCCACTTGAGACCAATGGGCTTGGACTTAGCCATGTTTGCAGTTCGAAGGAGTGACCAGTCAAGTGGACATTGCGAAGGTGCTTTGGGCGCGTAGAATTCTGCTGCGCGATGATGTCATGACTCTTGAATCGTCCCAGTCGTAGTCTCAGTGGCCCCACGCAGTGGGTCTGAGCAGGAAACCCTGCCAAGACTTATTTTTTTGGTGTATTGCCCGATATGTAATATTCACACCCTGCGTATATATGATCCTTAACAAAAATGCGCAACTACGATGGCTTTTTTTGGTGAAAAAAGTCGAATAAATAGTTAAATAGGCCCTCGTTAAATTAGAAGCTGTGGAGTTGTGGTGCAGTAGTTAAGAAGTAGGCTTTTAATTTCATTTCACTAAAAAACTCAGCTAACTTAGCTATAGCAGCGGTATCAGTACTTAAAAACGCCGTACGTCTTAAACAGACGCCGCAGTCTCCCTCTATTTTTTGGACGGCTAGACTTACGAGAGTCGCCGCGGCGATATATATAGATAAGCAAATATGCATACAAGTAATTGTATAGCTATCGAACTTGCGGAGAGTAGAGCGGAGAGCGAAGCGGAGATAATTCATTTTTTTGATGTGAAGTTAGATATTGGTAGCGGCGATATCGATAAATAAGAATATCTTATACGACGTCGGAGTCTCTTATAGGTATATAAAACGTAGAAAAAGACGTCTTTGAATATAGAAAGGTCTGCGTCATCGTTATAGACGACCTGATCGAATATTACTTAATTATCTCCGTACTTTTATACCCGATAGCCCGAGAATTAAATATTTAAATATTTAAATTTCTTTCGATCCGAATTATTAAAAGTTTTTAGAATTCGTTATTATATAGAGGAAGGATATTACTATAAGATATAGAGAGGTTAATATCTAAAGTTTAAAGATATCTCGTCGTCGTCGCTATAAAGAAAGTTAAATATCTAAATATTCTTAATATATTCTATATCTATACGAGCTTATTCTAGACGTATTAACCGCGTTAATATTATTTAAGATATATATACTATAATTCCTTTAACTTCTAAGCGAAGCGTATTCGAGTTAATATATATTTCTATAGGGGGTATATCTCGAGTACTCGACTTTCTAATTAAGGGTAATATAATAAATCTACTCTAATAATTTCTTAATTTAATTTATTATATAATCTTTTAATAGTACTAAATACGATACGCTATCGTTTAAAGTTTTTCTAATAAAGATTAATCGATTAAAGAGAAATATTATAAGCGTTAACGGAGATCGCGATTTTAAATTAGCTTATATAATAATAATAAGCTATTTAATCTTAATAAAAGGCTTAAATACTTAATTAGCGACCTCGATAGGTTTATTCGCCTCGCGATTAACTTTAAAGAAGTATATAGTAGTCGTGGAAAAATCGTTGAAAGTCGCGAATTTCGTATTTCGGTTAATTATTATAGATGTCTTATATAAAATAACGGTTAATATAGCGATTTTATGATTTCCTACTTAGACTCTAAGGGAGGGGTATATCGTAATGAGCTTGCGATATGATTGGCCCCCGAAGCGAGGCACGAGTGTAGGGCTGGCCATAGGTGGTACCCCGGCTAGCCGTGAGTCTGAATTACTGAGACTACCCAGTCGAAATTCAGCGAGCACACGTTTCTTACTTTTCTACAATTATACCAATCACCGATAAGATATTGCTACGACTGATAGCAGTAGAAGTGGTCGCAAATTTGAAAGCATCTTGGTTCGTGTTGAACAGGAGGACGTTGCTGGCTCCATATCAATCAAGCACCGTTTTTTGAGGACTATATCTCGCAATTGTCTTATGCAAAACCCATGACGTCTATGTACTCGTCGTCACTGACTGTCGTGTATCTCGAGGTCATAGTGTCCGAGCTTCTCAAATCTTTGCCTTCAAACTGACCATGTGGCCTCACACCGTCCCACGCTCCCTCATCATTGCTTCCATCTTCAATTGCACGTCACAGAATATGTTAATAGCCTGATGGTGTTTTTCCATCAGCTCAAGGTC